AACGCCAGTTGTGACAAAATTATTTGCCTCGATTCTCGTTCGTCGCCTCACTGTGGAAAGGGAATCTCAGATTAGTGAAGAGCAAGCCGGTTTCCGCCCAGGACGTGGCTGTATAGACCGTATATTCACTTTGCGGCAGGTGCTAGAGCAGCGGCACGCATACCGCAGACCAACAATAGCTGTGTTCCTCGATTTCAAGAGTGCGTTCGATTCGGTCGATCGATCGATTCTGTTCGAAATACTTGCGCGGTAAGGTGTTTCCACGAAATATGTGGACATCCATCGTGCTCTATACTCGAACACTACAGGCCGCGTCAGGGTTTACGGTGTCCTATCGAATAGCTTTCCAACCACAAGTGGAGTTCGTCAGGTTTGTCCGATTTCCCCATTTCTGTTCAATTTCGTTGTGGATTCTATCATGGGGTGTTCCCTTGTGGAATCACACGATGTAGGCGTTGAAGTGCTGCCTGGTGAAAAATTAGTTGATCTTGATTATGCGGACGATTTCATCTTGCTTTTCGATGGTGTTGCGGTGACACAATCAACCCTGAATAGCCTATCCAGAGTGGTCCCATTATTTGGTATGCACTTCGCACCTTCAAAGTGCAAAGTGTTGCGGCGTGACCCCCCAGCCAATTTATGACCCCTTGACCATTGCTAACGAGGAACTCGAGGTGGTTGATCATTTCACTTCCATTGGCAGCTGCATCAGCAACGATGGGCGCATAGAAACTGACGTCAGCTCACGCATTGCAAAGGCAAGAGCTGTCTTCTTGAATCTGCGGCCTCTTTGGCGACAGAAGGGAATTTCCCTCCGTCTGAAAGGCCGTGTATACAGGGGCACAGTGAGGGCGGTTCTGCCGCGTTCGGTCTGAAGATCTGAGGCGCCTTCAAGTCTTTGATCATCGGTGTCTGCGAAGCATTGTTGGTGTCGGATGAGGTGCTTAGGCGAGTACTAGGTAGTGATAATCATGCTTGCTCCCTAAAACAACAGATAGCACTGAATAAGTTGCGTTGGCTCGGGCACGTGCTACGCATGCCTGGTCACCGCTTACCTAGGAGGGCCTTGTTTAGTCTGCCTGATGTCGGGTGGCACAAGGCTCGAGGTGAACAGAAGTTGACTCGACAGCGGGAAATGAAGTCACTGACGACCAAACTGGGTGCCGTTGGTCCGTCTCGCCTTCCGAGCTGGAGTCTACGTGACTCGCCTTGTGCTTGGCTCGGGACGTTACAGGACATGGCTCGCAGTAGACACTAGTGGCGCGTCTGCTGCCGTCTCCTAATCGGATTGCCTGTTTAAGGTGTGTTTGGTGCTGAGTTATCTGTGGGTTAATGGCTGATTATGACTTGGGGCAGTGAAAGCCGCAAGGAACTGTCTAGCAGATGCCGCCTTATCTTTGCACGATAGCCAGTTGTTTGTGACGGTATGTTGTTAACACAAGGTGTAGGCGTCTTGACACTCAATGTTTGCTTAGGGCATTAAGGTTTTTATGTAGGTCCCCCCTTCTCTCCCTCCTCTTATTCTTTATTTCATAGGTCCTCATGGTTGAATGGCACCGAAACATCAGTTCAAATGGCTGATGTACTGCTTTTGATGATGATGATGACTGTCAATATTGCTTGGCTCAACTATTGACGGTGATGTCGATTCGCAGTGGGCGCAGATCAAACGTGCCTTGGTTTCCGCCATTATCGACACTTGTGGGGCTTGAACAACGAAATGAGAAGACGAATATTGGCAGATGCTAGCATTTCGTATTATCTCATCAGTACCAATACAATAACAGGGAAATCCTTTTATGTCTTACAGGGCACAGTTAAGGCAATCAAATTTATGGTTGTGGTCATTGTTGTTGGGATTAGGTCCACGGCAACCGCAGGTTGACAACTAATTACTTTTGGACACGCAAAGCTGGTCTAATTCGGCTTATCGCGACGGCCTCGACAAATCGTAAAAGACGTGCATTAGTATGACGTAACAAAATCCGGAACGCTGATAAGGGATTAACGCGTCACGCACCGAAGCATTGGATTTCCGCCGTCTCCTTGTCGCTGATGGAGACCTGGCCCATTCGTAAAGGTGACTTGCGCAGACTATCCGTCTTCGAGCACCGCTGCCTGCGGTCCATTGCCCGTCTGTGGTGGCGGCACCACGTAAGCAATATGGAAGTTAGACAGGACGGGGAAGCCACTCGCTCGAGTAGCTTGTCTCACTGCATCAACTGCGCTGGCTGAGACACGTATTGCGCATGCCTGTTCAGCGTTACCCGCGTCGTTTTTTGTTTGCGATTACTGAATAGGGCTGGAAGAGACGGTCTGGTGAACAGCCTACAACGTGGAGAAGCCGCTTGAAAATGCTGACGAAACAGTCGGCCTCGGCCAGTTGTTGTCGACCACCTGGTCAGGGTCCGGAAGATGCGGATACTTGCTTGTTAAAGATCTTAGAAGTCATGGCTCAAGATCGATGTCAATGGCGGACGTGTGTTGCGGTCTTCCTGGTTCCTCCCATTAAAAAACTGAAAAAATTACTTAAAGTACTGCATGGCAAAAGGGACAAAAAAGCCTTTATTGTTATTTTCTTATTATTTCATATTCATATTTCATATTCATCCATGATTCCGATGACATAATGTATATTCCACAGATTTCATTATATATATATATATATATATATATATATATATATATATGTATTTGAGAATCAAGCACATACAAGGCGGTGCCTGGACCATAGTCCGCTACACACTGAGTGCACGGAACCGCTTTGATCCTAACACGACCACAAGGACCGTGCACTCCGTCCCCTCCAGCAACGACCAACTGTCTCCTAGAGTCAGTATGGACGAGGTGGTGGGTAATAGACAGGTAGGCACCTTGTCAACATGCACATCAAGCACAGCCACACCGGGGATATCAAGCAACAGCCAATCACTTGAGAGAAAGATAACAACTAAAATAAATCGAGTAATGCATAAGGAAACGGTGACAAAAATCTTAAATTAATGAGCATATGAAATAAGTTGTTTACAAAAGAATCCGAGATAAGTTCACGAGGTCAGAAAGTATATTTTACGGAAATGCCACAAACACGAAAATGTTTTCGAAATTAACTACAATTGGCTTAAGCGACGTGTGCAAGTTTATAGAAGAGAGTATAGGTAGGAGTTTATATGAGAAAGAAAAGCATTAGGACAAAACTGAAAACCCACCACCTGAAATAAATAGACTTAGCATGCAAGCACGCGGTTAGTAAATCGAATGCAGCGTACCTACAAACGCTGCGCCGGTTCTGCCTACGTTCTCTGCAAGACCCGTCGTCGCTTCGGTAGTGGTCCCGAGTGGCCTCGCTCGTGACTCACTAGGCCTGCCTGATTCAGGCGCTCGCGACCGCATGTGCTACAGCACCATGCGCTCGATGGCGATTCATCATCATCATCATACACGTCAGCTAGAGGTGCTGAGCGGTTCATTTCCTTTTCCTGTGCCGTAAACAAGGCGTCGAACACGCTCATTTCTCACGCGGTGTTCCCACCAGATGTTGAGCTAAATTTCGAAGGCCACCGGGTAAGGATTGTGGTCTCGAATGTAACTAGCCTCTTCGGTCCGCAGCATTTAAGCGGCCAGGGTTTCCAACCGTACAGTAGGGTCGAATATACTGCTGCTTTGTACACTCTTACCCTTCCGGGTGGGAAGTGATGTCGCGCCGACGCATTAAGTGGCGATCGTTAGCATAAAGCGCCCTCGGCTTTTGCTATACGGTTCGTGATTCTTATCGTCATTCCCTCGGGAGCTGATTCAATCTTCCCAGGTTTT